ATTCTTTTTACTCCAAAATGGGCAAAATTTCAAATCTCACCAATGTAGTGCATTTACGTACATAAAACCTGCAGTGAATTCTAAGCTTTCATTCCTAATGGTCAAATCTGACTAGTTTTTTCGGTATGGATTAATTAAATCTGACCCAACGGTCGACTACATTTGGTCACTATAAAGAGAGGCAGATTGTCCAAGAATTGAGGGCTGGTAATTAATTAATTAATTAATTACTTAAGTCACATAAACAGTAATTTTGAAAAAGAAGATGCATTTTTTTTGTTTTTGTTTTTTTTTTTAACCATGACTTAACAGTCAAACTGGGCCAAAATGAAATGATGAACGTACGTTTGCACTACAAAACAAAGTTGAATGAATTGATTGCAAACTAATAAAAGGGCTGCTGTAACTTTATATGTTCTTATGTCAATTATTTTGCCACATACATTTGCCTGTAAAAACCAAAATATAATGGTGTCGACATTAGCCTAGATGTAAGATTAGAAGACAAAGAACTCTCACATTATGCGACGTGACAGTAATGAGGATAAGTGTTGAGGAATATAAATAGAAGCAAAGACGATAATGAAAACATACCCATCCCCACCCTATCGTGTTGTTATCCCCATCCCTAATACGTTTGACGGTCTAAATTGGCCTATTGGTAGGGCTACGGTGGTGGGAATTGTCACCAGAATATGCCGAGACCACCTAATTAAGACCCCCATATGAGAACACTAAATGTAGAAACATGGTCAAGCCAATGAACTTGGCTTGCCGGTTTATATAATAGTAATACAAACTTGGTGTGTGTACGGAGGGGATATAGATTGATGACCTTTGTTTACATCCATTAATGTTTGGGACACAAAGAGGGAGACATCTAACACCAAAACCATGAGCACTCCTGGCCCATAAAAAGAACTCCAACTCCTCCATCCATTGTCATGGTGGGCTAGAGAGAGAGAGAGAGAGAGAGAGAGAGAGAATCATCTTAATAAACAAATAAATTAGGGCAGGATGCAATGCCCTATGAGGATGCATCTTTGGGCACTGTTCATTTTACATTGAACCTTCCCCAGAAGATTTAACACTTAATAAATAGTTTGATTCTGTAAATGTCGCACTTTCTTTATTTTATTTTATTTATACCCTTTTTAAATACAGTTTGTGAAAGTCTTAAAATATCTCCAAAGTCCATGCACATACACACCTTGGAATTTGAGGAAATCAACCATTTTTTCACAAAAAATAATTGACTTGGAGGCCCTCGAGATAATCCAGGCCGTTGGATTAAGGGAGAACTACTTTGTCGGTGTCGTTTTTGTAGGTACTTTGACATGGAACTATTTTAAATGCCATCAAAAATTGGCTGTCTTTTTTTATGATGGTAATGCAAAAAATTTCATTCATCTGGATAGATTTCAATATACAATTGCGTATAAACAATAGTCATTCACAAGAATGTATATGACTCAAAACCCTTTTAAGTGAAATTAGTTGTGATCTTGCTTAATATTTTTCCATCGCCATTTTATAAGATTTATTCGACTTGAGTGATGTCTGGTTCATTTGAGTGAAATTTTAAATGAAATAATCATTCTCGTGGATCTTACATCATTAGCTCACCATGATGATTTATAAGTCCAAATTCAAGTCAATCGGGTGACGATGATTACGTAACATAGGTAACATAAAATCCGAAAATACCAAATGTAGACTCCAAGCAAGCAACCTAAGAAGAAAGGGAAAAAGACATAACCATTTCTGAAATTGAGTTTTTTTCTTCCCTTTTCTTCTCCTGAACTTGTACACACGCAATGTATCTTGTTATTTTTTTTCAAGTGTTAGATTAGATAGTGTGAAATAAGCAACAACAAAAAACACAAAATATTTGAAAATGAGAAAGCAAGTAGTTTGGTCAAATCAGGTTAGGAGGGTGAAAAAAGTAATATACATTGTCAAAGCATATGACAATTGCATTTGAAAATGACTGTTGAGTTAGGACATATTCTATGAAAAAGACTGAAATTATGACATATTATAAATTTATTTATTTATTTATTTATTTATTTATTTTAATATAATTATAGTCTAAACTACAAGTGAAATGAGATTTCTCATACCCACTATTGAGATGTCATAAAGAGTCGAATATGTGATTACTGATCTGTAAATCAAGTCCTTTTTTTATCGGGTTAGATCCATTGACTATGAACTATATTTAAATGCACCTCTCTATTCACTTGTTCTGAATTTAAATATTTTCTTGTTTACAATTTACATGCAAAAATTTCTTCTTTTCTAACATTAGTGGCTCACAGCTCAGAGAGGTTGTGCCTGCGTGGCACCACATGCCCATTTTTATCTGTAAATGATTTGACACGTGACAGCCACGTACCATTTTGTAACATACGTATTATGATATTACCTACATGTTGGAAATACCTCTCCATTTTCGTTTTCTTCTTTTGGTGTGGGCTTATATGTTTTTTTTCTTCCACTTTTGAGTAGGTGGAGATTCGAATTTGAGATTTTTTTTTTTTCGGTTTTATGTTCTTGACTTATAAGAATTTATGCTAGATTAATAGCTAGTTGATCGCTCAAAATTCTCCAACTCATTTTAATTTATTTTTTAATTTATTTCTATTTTTAAATACTAAAGTGCATATACTAAGCAAATTATCAAGATAGATTGCAATTTTCACATACTCACAAACAAAAACCACTTGTAACCTTCACTGCAAAAAATGTCCCAATAAAATTCAATTTCTATTTGACCATTGAATAAAGTACCACAAAAATAAATTGTAGATGCTAAATTTACAATTACGTGAAAACAAAGAAATCCCTTATGTGGCATTGGCAAGCTCAAAATTATTGAATATGGATAATAGAGAATTAATGCAATGTTATTTAGCACTTTTTATTTTTTTTTTCTTCATTGATTTAGTGCTGATTGAATATTTTATTTATATAAAGCGATATTGGAGGAAGTGGAAATCAAACATAAGATTTCAGATGCAAAGACAAATGACCGTAAGTTATTAACCACTTCAACTATAAACTTCTTGCATGCTAATCGAACGTTAGATGTGACACAAAACCAACATGCTACAAGAAGACCCTGAATATCTTCGATTTCATGATTTTTTTTTTATAATTAAAAAAAAAACTAAATACAACAATAAAAAATGAAAGAGAAAAAAAAAATCCATGCCAGGTTTATTTAGCCTACCTGGCATGAAATGGATTGCCTGGTCATCATTCTCCTTTGCTTTCCATGCAAACGTCGCTGGGAAGGGACGGCCCTGCTTCTCTGCTGCTGTCACCATCACCATCCAACGTCTCAAAAACGACAACGTTTCTCTCCAGAGGCATATTCTCCGTATCCTTACTAAACGATGTCAGCCCCTGCCGTTTGAAGCTTAGCTGGACGCCACTGTTTGGCTTGAGGAATTCTCTGAATGGGCCAGCTGGCACGGCACTCTCACCTGCACATGGCCAGCTACTTCTGTCGATACCCACCCGAGATTACTAAAATACCCCCAGTCTCATTGCTCATCCTCTATAATGCCCCTGCCACTCTCATTCAACGTTTTCACTTTGAACTCTCTTTTTTTCTCTCGGGCTTATCGAAGAAGGAAAGACAGCGAAACAGGTGGACCGGGGGGTTTCGAGGCATATCCGTAAATAATGGGAAATCCGAGGGGTAGAAATGTGAAACAAGCTAGACCGTGGAGGGTGTTTTGGTAATTTGATTTCGAGCAGTCATTAAATTAAATCTTGTGTTTTTATTCTGGCTTGCGTAGGAAAATAAAAAATCTGGAGAGTAGTACGGGGAATCTAGGATGTGAGGAGAAGTAGCTCGTCAAAAAAACATTAATGCTAAGGTGTAAATACTCACACCATTTCACTTCACGAATTCATGGTCGTTGTCATTGTCAACACTACTGACAAGGCTTTCAGCCCAACGTGGTTAGGGACCATTGAGCCTTCTGTTTTGTTTGGTTTTGTGTATCTTTTTTCTTTTCTTTTTCTCTCTCTTTTATTATGAAAAATCTTTTATAAACACTATTAAGATGCTACGAAGGTTTGAATTTGAGACAACTGATTTGCAAGTTAATGTCATTTTTCATTGAGCCTTTTGTTAAAAGAAATGTGCGGAATTCGAACATTATATAAAAGCTATAATTAATATATGTAACATGTCAAATATGAATAAAAGCATCACGCGTATCAATTAATTTGAAATACATGCTCAAATAAATTTTTTAATTAATTGCTCGTATTAACTGAGAATATCACATATAAGATTTTTTTTATAAATACAAGAGATATTAGCACAGGTAAATACTCATAATCATTTGAGTTACAAATCCTTTAGAAAGGTCATGTATAAGATAAATAAGTTATTATTAGAAAATGTAAGTGTTCGTATCAATCCCTCTCAATGTAATAAAAAGAAAATGAATGTCACATATAAGGTTAGTATGGAAGCGAAGCAGTCTAACATCATCGATGTAATTTGTGCACCTTCTCTACAATCAATCCTAAATATTCATCTTTTGACTATTTCACATATGTTCACGAGTACTCATTTGACTATTCACACATGTTACGTACTCATTTTAGAATAGAAGAATTTGAAGTTGTGTTTACCAACTTTGAAAAGAGAAGTACTAGAAATACAAACCGTCGAGAGCATTCCCACCGTGAGTTTTTATTTAATATACAAGCATTTTTTAAGAAAAGATGAATTCATATATATAAGCTGGCACTTTATTTTCCCATGTTGTCACCTTTCATGCCTTAAGCAAAATCTACATGATTAAAAATAGGTCATAATGAGGCTTAAACCAATGTGAAGTCAAAATCAATTTGTTGACAAAAGGAGAGGAAAGGAAGGCCATGAAAAACAGAGAGAGAGAGAGAGAGAGAGCCCAAATGCCAAAGATTAGGTGTCACCATTGAAGAGAGTGGGGAGTGTGTGTGTGTGTTGCTCACAGCCTCTAAAGGGAGAGTAGGCCTCCATGGCACTAATTTCTGCAAGAAAAAAACAACAAATAAAGCGATTTATGGAGGAAGGTTGGAGAGTAGCCAAAGAAGAGAGAAGAGAGAGATAGATATTGGATTTTTATTAGAGATTTTAGATTTTAGACTGAGAAAGAAAATTGATGATAAAAATACAAACAAGAGGAGAAGAGAGAAACCTGTCTCGTGAAGCAGCAGGTGAAAGAGAGAAAGGGAAGAAAAAACAATAATAAAAAAGTTCTCTCCTTTCTTTCTTTCTTTCTCCTCTCTCTCTCTCTTCTCTCTCTTCTCTCTAAGGACTTCACATTCATTCTTTGCTTCCTTCTTTTATATCACGAGATCCCCATCTCGGCTTCTTTTTCCCCTCTCTCTCTGTGTATCTATTGATGTCTTCATCAAAGCCTCTTCATTTTCTGCTGCTTCTGGGTTTTTGTGTGTCTGCTTGCCGCCATTGTTGTTCTTCTTGGAGTAGCTTCACTCGCATACATTGCTGAGGGTGCGGACCCCAGAAAGGAGAAAAAAGTACCGAAATTTACAGAGGGGGAGAGATAGAAAAAATTTACAAGCTTTGCTTTTGTTTTTGGAAATGTCGCATTCTGGGAAGCCCATTTCGGAGCTAGGCCTCGACTCGCTCAACGATCGCTTCCGTGACTCGCTGAGTTGCGAAGCCAACAAGCCTGATTTTCGAGAACTCGATCTGGGTTCACCCGTTTCCCCTCTTCGGACCCGTCAAAGCGGCGGTCTTGCCACTGCAACAAGTAGTAGCTCCAGCTCGTCCGGATCGTTCTCAGGCCGAAATGGGCCCAACCCAGCTGCCAAAAGGTCCGATTCAGCCCCAAACAACCACTCCGGCGAGCTGTCAGGCTCTAGTGAGAGCAGTCCCACCGCCGCCGAGAGCGTCCGATCCGCCGGAAACACCCGAAATTTCAAACCGGGTCATACAAGATCCGATTCCGGCTCCACCCATCCCTTAATATACTCGGGTCAGAGCTCTGTGAACTCTCCGCCACTCAATGTTTTGCCCACTGGAAACATATGCCCGTCTGGAAAAATCTTAAAAACGGGTTTGGTCCCAAACCGGAGCTCCAGAAGCGATGTTTTGGGTTCGGGTATGGGCAATTACGGTCACGGGAGCATAATGCGGGGCGGCCCGGCGGCGAAAGGTGGCGGCATAGAGGCGGTGAGTACTGTGACTTCGAGGGTAACTGGCGGCGGAGACTTGTTGAAGAGAACAATGGTGAGTGCGGATCCAGAGGAGGTGAAGAGAGCTGGGAATGAGCAGTACAGAAGAGGCCATTTTGCGGAGGCTTTGAGCTTGTACGATCGGGCAATCGCATTGTCTCCGGCCAATCCAGCCTACCGGAGCAACCGGGCGGCGGCATTGACCGGTCTCGGGCGGCTGGTGGAGGCCGTGAGGGAATGTGAAGAGGCAGTAAGGTTGGATCCCAATTATGGCAGAGCTCACCAGCGTTTGGGGTCTTTGTTTCTTAGGTGAGTTGTTGGGATGCAAAACACTAAAGCTCAGTTCATTTTTGAAGCTGACATGTTGGTGAATTAGTTGGTGATGGGTTAGTGTCAGTCTTGTTAATTAGCTGGTCAACATTGTACAGAATGTCTCTGCTTGTTTGGTCCTTGGATCTGGTTCATTCTGCTCTGGTTTGCCCTTTTGATTTGAATTGTTGATTTGTTCTCCTGTATTTTTCTTGTTGCTTTAGATTTCTACATTAGTTAATATGTGTCTATAATTTCCATGTGTCATTCTAGTTTCCTGGATAAACATATATATGCTTCCTTGGGTAGCAATTAGTTGAATTTCACTAGTGGAATGGACAGATTCAGTTGTGTTGCAATTTTTTGTATTGCTTGATATACCAGCTTACTGGAATCTTCTTTAGAGGTTTTCAGTGGAGCTCCAAATTTTTGCTGGTTCGTTTAGATTTAAATTCTACAGATCCAGTGTTTTAATGGTTTATATAATTGTAGGTGGATTGAATTTCAATGTATTTCTCCAGCTTAATGCAGCAGGGAATTTAGTTGACAGAATCCCATGTTATGGCAGGTTAGGACAAGTTGAAAATGCCAGGGGGCACCTTTGTTTTCCAGGGTTGAAGCCAGATCCGGCTGAGTTACAGAAATTGCAGGCAGTAGAGAAGCATCTCAAAA